GGGATATATATATTTTTATTTTTTTTTGCTAAAGCTTTGTCATTGTTTGTGTAAACATTTTGTTCATGGATTACAGTGCAAGGAAACGCATTTAAAAATAGAGTTGTGACTTGGCCTTCAAACTGTAATGGCCCCTTCACTGGAGAAGATTTGGCAGTTTTAAAAGTCACTAGAAGTCACTTCTGTTCTTGCAAATCTCTTTCCAGGGAAGCTATGCCAGGGAACAAGGGGGAATGGGAGTGTGCGGGCCGGGCGCGAGCCGGGCCCTTTTTCATGCTGCACGCGGGCTGTGGCCAGCAGCCCGGGCACGCAGGGTCGGAGAGAGGGTCGTGACAAGCTAGAATTAGGCACAGACTCATAGCGGTAGTTTTAAAGATTGTTTACTTACACCAGAGACGGTCGTGGTGTAGGCTGGAAAACTTGCTTGAGTTGCAGTTACAGACAAAGACAACACGGACGGTTGCATGGAGTTTGCTAGGCTCCACGGAAACAGAGCTCCGGATGCTCTGGGTGAGCGCGCCACCAAAATCGGACTCGTAGATACGTCTTATAATTTTTATCGCTCGAAGGCGGGAAAAGGTGGGCAATGGATCAGGTCGCCAAGCTCCTCTGAATCTCACGCAGGGTTTCTATTACCTTGCCGTGTACCCAGAGTCCCCACGAGATGGATGTGGAATCCTCTTCGGCTTGGGCGGAAACTGCTCAAGCCTCTTATACGGCTAACAGGCCAATCGTTAGCCGCCACGTGGGAATAATTTAGAACTAGCCAATAGCGGGACACAAATTTGCATGCGGGTGGCGGGAACTCTTTTGCACCGTGCATTTCTCTTGCAACTTGAGCAATGCACCCTGCAAAAGAAGCTGCAAATAGGCGGGAAACTCGTCCTTGCACCGGAGTTTTCTTCCGCAGCATAAAACTCCACCGTGCAATGAAGCTGCAACCTGGCGGGGATAATTCTGGTGCTGAAGCGCACACAGAATCATACCTTTGGGTTATGACAGGGAGAAGCTGCTGTTTTTTGGCAAATAGCTCGTAAGGGCTTACAGTTGCTCCAGAAATAAATAACTACACCTCTTAGTTTCCAAGTCCGAACTTTTTGAGGATCTCTCTTATGTTGGTTCTTAGAGAGAGTGGTCTGTAC